CAGAAGACAATAAGGTCAAAAGAAGGATGTGGTTAGTGAGAGTTTGTCACCTTTAGCAACTCATGTTAAATCTACCCTGTAAGGACTGTGATGAGCAGAGGGAGAGGGGTTCAGTCATCACTTTCCTTTAACCTTAAAGGTTTAATAAGCAAGAGTTGAGGACTGTTGCATGCAACGGGATCAAACTGCAGGGGCAGTACTCCGCCATATAAGATGGTTCACTGACTTTAGGAAAGAATTAAAATGAAAAAGTGAATGCAAAGAAAAGGGAACAAAAGAACTGGTCAGGCTTTATAAGTATTCAAACCTGTTAAAACTTTTTCCACATTTTTTAATTTCAATATAGTTTCAGTGGATTTTGTAATATACAGATACACAAGCAGAGTCTTATTGTGCTCTGGAGGAATAAGGGAACCAGAGGTTTGTTAGAGGACTGGATGAACAGATATTATCAGGAAGACCATGGAGCATGGATAAAACTGTAGGAGATCCATGGGTCTGTGGTGGGTTTAAGGTGTTAAATTACACAATTGAGGTCCAGATATTAATCCAATCAAGCCTGTGAGGTTAGACGAACAATGTAGTGTCTAGATATATAAAGCCAGTGCAGACAGTTACTTCCCCTAAAGGTTTGCAGCTGTAAACACGCAAAATGCGGTATGTAGATTTATTATTTGTCAAAAGTTTTGAAAACACTGGTTCCTTCTTGCAGGCTTACTTTTAGTTTTTTATCACATAAAATAATTCAAAAAACTGAAGGAAGTTTGAAATTAAAACATGACAAGTCCAACAGGTGTGAATACTTTTTCAAATCTTTGCACATGAACTCATTTTTCCACCAGTTCCATTTGTGCATCACGTCAGTTAAACCCTCCCACATCTGTCTTTGTATGAGTCTAGAAATCCACAATGTTTAAACTTCTGACCTCATTTCTGTCTGGCACAGAAAGAGAACCATGAAGGCTGCTGACTCCACGTGGTAATATCCAGGAAGCGTTAACCAGAGAGCATTAGAATAAAGCTCTCTGCAAATACACCCAAGTTAAGCTGATAGTATGACACCATGCCCACCCACACAGGACATGCAATTCATTCATTTTAAGCCTTAGCAGTTTTATAATCATTAGACAAACGTACCTTTTCATGATCAGGATCAGCCTCCAAACGCATCAGTTTGGAAGCTGTTTCTTGTGCCTGAGGTGAAAGAGAGCTTTGGTAATAAAACATTTTAGAGTGACCTGACTGAGAGGCCACACAGAACCAAATCAAACAACTAATTCAAATACATAACCAAATGAGCTCTCTTGTTTTTCTTAAGGTGCAAATGCAAACAGACACCAAGCTATAACAAGAGGTTCCAGCGGCAGACCTCAGACCACTGGCCCCTCATCGGGCCTCATTCATGGCCCTGCATGACTATTTTAACAGACAACAACAGCAAAGAAGCAATGTAAAAGTTTCCATTTCTGTCACAATAGGCAAACAAGGCAGTTAGTGGCATTCTGGCCTGTTAGTTTCAAAGCTAAATAAGAAAACATAGAAAGCAGATCTATAGATTTGCTGCTTCATTAAATCTGACTACACTTCTGTTATTACAAGAGCAGGAGGTGAAGCAGAGCAGCCTTTTTACAAATGGCGGACTCTACACCGTAGATTCCACAGTGTTAAATATGCAGTGTCAATGTACATTGACTATTTTAGAGTTATTACAACAACAACTAGAGTAAAATATACACTACGTAGAGTTCTAATTTAAAACTATTTCCGAGTGGGACCATATGTGTTACTTAAACACTTCAAAATTGACTGTGTAGTTTTAAACATTTTAGGTTTTAAATTCATGGATATAAATAAATAAATAAAAAACAGGAATGACCTTCCTTAATTTGATATGATATTGGTTTAGAAAAAAAGATCAAATTGAGAGTGCAGGAATATGAGAAGTTCTATCAGTTCTAGATCTAAGGAGCAACATACGCATTTGGATCATTCTGGACTAAATAGCCACACTTTTAGTTAAAAAAGATAAAAACTGAAGTAATCAAGGAATATTTTCTCTGTCAACCTAAAAAATCACAATACGATTTCTGTCTCAGCGGCAGATCAAACAGGATACTATTGTGCAATTGTTTCTCGGTGAATGAATGACTGAATAAATAAAATGCATCATTTCAGATCTGACTGTAGATTGCTGTCCTGCCGATGCACGTGTGCAACTCACCAGCAGGTTAGCTCCGCTCTGAAACAGATTGTAGGGATAGAGGATTCTCTCGTAATGCCCTCGCAGGTGGGAGCCCACAGCTTTGCCAGGAGAGAAACCCATTTGAACTGCAATCTTTGTCCAACGCCTGTCCTGGCAGACGATGTCAAATCCACCCTCATCTGCAACGAGCTGTAACGGCACAGAGGTGTATCAGCCATGACTGTTTCTCTGTTTATTAAATAGACTTGTGAGAAAATAATGCAAGATGCCGTAAATAATTAACCTTGTTTAGTTTATATAAGTCTAAAATTTTCCTCTCCACATGAGGGATCTTCAGGGTACATCCCTGCAAATCCCAAAATTTGGCAATCTGGTCCAAAAAGTTGAGCTTGACCCTCGTCTGTGCCTGGAAACGACCACGGAAAAAAAACAGGGTTGAATATCAAGAGAACAAGTAGCCCACAAAAAGATGTTTTATTTAAAAATATTATTGTTAGAGTGCAGATAGTTAAAAAAAAATAAACATGCCAGTTAATAATCTAACTAAATACCATCTGCATTAACAAAACAAAAGCAGAGATCCACGGACAGATAATAGTAAAATTACGTCTGACATAATCTGATTAACAAACTTACCTCCAGTTCATTGAGCCGCTGGATCCGAGGAACAAAGTGAAGCTTGTCAACATCGCAGGCAAATGGTGGCTGCCAGTCCTGAAGAGCAACAATGATACACTTAGAGGAACATGGAGGACATTGTATCTTGCAGCATGCAGGCACGCTCTATGGTTTCATTTTTGCACCTAGTATCAGCCCAAGGCAGAAGCAAACAAAACTGCTGCTTTTGGCCTGCAGGGCAACAGAGGAGGTCCAAGAGTTTCTTTAATGTTGCCATGTAAGTATTTCAACTGATACTCAAAGTATTTGCAAGCTGTAAGGACACACATTTGCACTCTTAACGGATTTCATTTTAATCAAACTTGGTCAAATCATCACATAGGTTTTAAAAACGGAAAAATATAAGGTAAGAACGTTTTTTTTGGGGGCATATTTTATATACTTCTTGGGCAACATATACATATATCCGATTCGGTTTGCATCGCTCACATCATATTAATTGAAATTAAACATAAATAAAATAAGTAGCATTATGTTAATGTGTGTGTGCTTACAGGCCCATTTTTATTTATTTTTGATACATAGCGAAAGATGTGTTTTTATTTTATTTTATGGTAGACGTGTGTCCAACTACATCTGGCATAAAGCTAAATGCATTTCAAAGAAAGCAAATCAAAGTGACACATGGTCACGGTAGTCAGGAGCCACCAAGAGTAATGACCATCAGTTTAGGCGCAGCCAAGATGCTGTACCCCGATTGTAAACAGCTTGTTAATGCATAAAATGGCTTTAAATCTGACGGACGTGGATAGATTAAAATAACTTAAAGGAAAATTCCGGTTTTTAACACTTTTAGCCCATTTTCTGTAGTGTCCAGGATGAAATCGAATGATCGACACCAAAATTTTGACGATTGGTCCTGTCTCTGCTATTTGGCTCATGCAGAATCCCCCCCTGGCTGCTTCAGAATGGCTTCCATAGTGCATGTCCGATAATGTCCTTAAAACAACCTTAAACGTTCTTTTTTTAAAATATGCTACTCACCGGGTCGTCAGCGCTGTTCAATGACGTTCCAAAAAAAGTTTCGTGAAGAAAAACCGTTCCTGTCGTTTTATTTAGCATTTTGTAAATCCCAGAACTATTTTTTCCGATACATCACAACCGCTTATAAACTTCCGCTTCCCGTTCGAATCTGAAGCGTTGCACACTCCAGACCACTAGTTGGCGACGGTATCCTCTACCGTCAAACTCAAAGTCCAATATGTCCTCCTCAAGAATCCACCTTTCGTATTCCATTATCAGAGTTTTTTAAAGTGTTTAACTGAGACGTAAGCACCTCGACGTCGGAGTACACAGAGTGAAGCAGAAACACTTGGGCCTTGCGAAAAGACTACAACTAAGCGTAAACAGGCCCCATTTCCGTTTCCGGTGGCGGAGGGATATTGACTATTCCAACAGAACTCAATGGGATTTACAAAATGCTAAATAGAACACTACAGGAACGTTTTTTCTTCACGAAACTTTTTTTGGAACGTCATTGAACAGCGCTGACGACCCGGTGAGTAGCATATTTTAAAAAAAGAACGTTTAAGGTTGTTTTAAGGACATTATCGGACATGCACTATGGAAGCCATTCTGAAGCAGCCAGGGGGGGATTCTGCACGAGCCAAATAGCAGAGACAGGACCAATTGTCAAAATGTTGGTGTCGATCATTCGATTTCATCCTGGACACTACAGAAAATGGGCTAAAAGTGTTAAAAACCGTAATTTTCCTTTAAGAAAAAAAAAAGTGAATTTCTTCCAGAGCTAAATATTCAACTACTTTGTAGCAGCAAATAATTTGTCTTAAGGAGCAGTTACTACTATTATAAGTGGTAAAGTTGTTTTTGTAGCTCTCCTCTTTATGAAATAAATCATTATTTGAAAAACCACTTTACTCACTTATTCAAGTGTTTGTATAAATGATCTACAAGTTTATGTGAAATATGTAAATGAGACAAGGAAGCATAAAAAAGCATCTGTATAAGAGGAAACACTTTTACACAGCACTCTAGAGTGTTCTGCAATGAAAACGCTATTTTAACAGTAGTTTTTTTTCTTTTACTAGGTAAAAAAGGACCCCAAGTTCTTCCCTTTAAGTCTGTAGCAAACATCCCCCACTGACAGACAAAATGGCCAGATGGAAGACTCAACTCAATAGTCCAGCTTACCACAAAGCCAACATGGAGGACAACACCCTTCAACACAGGCTCATACATGAACACTGGCTGATTATGTGAAAGCTTAGATCATCAGGGTCTGCATCAGTGAAACACTCAACAATATCACCTTTTTAACAATACTTAAAAGGTCATGACTTTATGTAATAGATAAGGATTTTCCCCACTTTTAAGAAAAATATATCATTAGAAAAAGTCTAAAGTTGCAGAAGAAAAAAAAATATTTGAACACGATCAATAATTTAAAACCATGTTTTCAAAAGGGCATCATAAAGTTAGCAGAAAAGTGATTATATGGATGCTCTTCAACTAAATAAATAAATAATGATCAAAGTCAGCTTCGTAGGTTTAGGGCCATTGAATGGCTAACACGGTGAAATGTAAGTCATCTGAATGTCATTTACTTTATCTTCAACTTTGTATTGTCTCGTTGTACTTTCAGTAGCCCCATAGCTTCCGCATTGCCACTAATGTCAACGATGATAGCCTTATAATGACAGGTAGCTAACGTTAGCCTTCCAACAGAGAGGATCAATGACCGAACCACCGCCGGGGTTTTGGTATCCACCGACAATAATTCGGATATAAAAACCCGCAACAAACACGCGGCTGCCGTTAAACTACAACTAGCGCTATTATATATCGGTTAAAATGCAGTAATATGAGACGTAGCTAACGGTTACTGCACAAAGAATGAGCAGCGCCGTGTGTATCCGCCATGTTGAACAGTCCCTTTAAATCCCAGCGCTCTGTTCATCTAAAAGCCGAACTTCAGCATCCGCGCCCCCACAAAAAAAAAAACGTCCAAAAACAACTCTCCCTCCAGCACTCACCGGCGGCGGCCGGACTTTGCAGATCCCGGTCTTTTCTGCGATGGGTCTGATCTTGTTGATAAAAGCATAAGGATCTCGAAATTCTTCCCAGCTGGGCTCGAAGACCGGGCACTCTGGAGGAGGCTTGAACTCGTCCGGCCGAGGCAGGCTCATGGTCTTTCGGACCCGGTTGGGTTGTGACTCGTGGGCTCGTGGCGTGCGTCGCTCCTGCTGAGGGTGTTTTGTTTTTTTTTTTTTATTTCGGGCCCGTTTATTCTCCAGCCACAGTCGGTCTGCAGCGCGTCGACATCAACACGAGAGGAGGCAGATTATACACACACACACACACACACACACACACACACACACATCCACGCACAGTGAAGAGAATGTTCCAAGGCAGTCAGCACGTCCGCCGCAGAAACTAGTACACCGCACCATTCTACGTGATGCTTGTCAGATAGACACCTCTCTACATACTTACACGTTAATAACTGCTAAATACTGTTTATAAAATGTCCGTTTACAGGAGATTTATTAATATATTTTTGTATTTTATGTTTTTCGAATAGTCCTAATGGATAATAATATATATTTTACAACAGAAGTGCTCTGAAATTATGTCTCTTTGTAGGTTAAGTATGCATAAGGCAACACCCAAATATGAAAAAAAAAACATAAATATTATAAATGCATTATAAAAATAACACTAGTGTAGGATAAAAAATATAGTTATAGAATAACTAGTTTATGACAATTCAATAAGGTTGTAATTTGGAGGAAAAAATGATAGTTTCAGTTTGAATAGTTACTTACTTTATTTTCTTAAAGAAAAACAAAATGGAAAGAAAAATATTAAAAGAAGATGCATCCTTTGGAATATTGCAGGCTCTGCACATAGAGACTGAAATGATTGTTTCTTTGCACAATAGCTAGAATTTGTTCAGATTGTTTAGAGAGCTACAGATGTTTACGTCCAGACTTAAATCTAGATATTGGTTATTATTTTATGTAACATTTGAATCTTAATTTGTGTTTTTGATTAACTGTGAGTTGAAAACCATCATAATTCAAACAAAGTAAAAAAAAAAAATCTGCTTGCAATTAATCAGTAAAATGTTTGTTTTTTTACCCAGTGATGTGAATCACCGACAAATTAGACTTTAAATTCATTGAATATATATAGACTGTATTGATCCATCTTTATAGCAGCTCTGACCTACTCATCCCTGCTGCAGAAGGTTTCCCACAGCCTGATGCACCCTCCACTATGTTTCACTTTGAGGATGTGTTTTATTTAGATTTACTAGTTGTTGTTTTTTTTTTCCAACACAGCATCTAAAATGCACAAACATTGACTAATTTTATTCTGCAGTATCTCACGTAACATTTTTATTGAATCATAAATTAATGTGTGAGTGTATTCTATGTATATTTATGTCCTTCAAATGTAAAGCCCTCACTTTGTTTCAGTTTCACTTCATTAAATCACCTACACCTTTGCAATCTGCTTATACAACCTTGGCATTTCAAACGGGTGTTTATTCACTTTCTTTTTTACTCGGATACAGTTTGCATTGTGGCTTATTTCTCGGGTATTCATCATTTTCGTCGTTACACGGTCAGCCAACCAGACGACGCCTTCTGGTGAACGTAAATTCTATGTAATACGCCAACAGAAACTCCTAACTTTTCCCCCATTTCATCTGTAACCTAAAGCCTGAGAGCTATTGATAGCAAATAATGATGACGCTTTGAGTTATTAAAAGAGGTAGTAAAATAATATGTAGAAAAGTAAATATAATTTTAAAATAAGGATGTTATATGTTTACATTCGCGCGGATGGATATTAGCAGGTGACACCTCAGAGGCTGTCGGGACTCGTTCTTTAAATAGCCAGAGAGCGAAGTTTGATTGGCTGTTCCTCACAAACGCTTTAAAAAATCTGCCACTGAACAGCAGAACCACACATTAGTTTTTCAATTTTAAAGCAGTCATAATAATCCAAACAAAATCCATATACTTTTAAGCAACACTCAATATAGTGTGAGAGTTTTTATTTTTATTGTAGTTCATTTAATTTCAAGAAAATGTTTTTTTTGCTTTGTTACATAAATAATTTTAGGTAATATCCGTTTTATAACTCAGCATACTTAACTTCTATTGCTAAATGTGAAACAGAGTTGTGAATTCTGGCTGTCTCTCTATGCTCTTTCAGACTAAGTCCATTGTATTCAGGTCAGAGCTCACCATCTGCTACTGCTCATTGTTCTACTTGTTGATAAAATAAACACATTTGCCATTTCTTCTTTTGTCAACTCTCCTCAGGAGTAAACTCAATCTCACACCATTTCCAGTTTACATCTGTTTCACTTGGCTTGGATGTTTCTAAATAAAAACAAAACACAAACAAACCCTGCTTTGTTTGTCTTTTGGTTGTAGGTCCATAAAACCTGCCTCCCTTTGATTTGGAATGTTTGAAAGATCCCAGGCTTGCATTTTTAATTTTTCTGTCAAACTTCCTGGATTCTATGCTATCTTCAATATCATAAATATCATTAACTATTTCAGCTCTCGTAATTCAACAAATAAGCCCTCTTTTATCAACCCATCATACCCGCTTTCCCGTCTTGATCCTGATATGATTGCTTCTCCTGCCTTTCTTTTTATATATTTACATTGTAAAAGTGGTTTTATCCATTAAAGGAAAAGACATTCAGTTTTTGTGACATTACACAGTGCTAATTCCAATTAGTTTAAAAATAAATTAGCATACAAATATACAACATACACAACACGCCAGTCAGCTGTTTGGGAGACACATCAGAAAAAAGCCTTTTCAATCATATAAACAAAAAAATATAAGAATGAGATGTTAGTTAAACTTCTAGGGATTGTTATGTGGGGCAGTACGTCTGGTCATATGAGACTAAAATTGAGATTTTCTGCCATAAAACACACTCAATATAAAAACCAAGGATTTGAAATCTTATATAGTGTGTGTGTATATATATATATATATATATATATATATATATATATATATATATATATATATATATATATATATACATATATCCCCTGTGATTAGGGTTACTAGAGTAGTACCAGTAACGGTCTCTGTCAATAACCCCTGACGCAGACCTTGTTTGGTCTTGCGGACCGTGGCGACGGATGTAGGAGTTTGCCCTGAAATTGAAGGATTGACGGTTCAAGCCCTGGCTCCGACTTACAGTGTCGTTGTGTCCTTGGGCAAGACACTTCACCTGCATTGTCTACTGATGGTGGTCAGAGAGCCCGGTGGCGCCAGTGTACAACACTCCGCTTCTGTAAGTGAGCCCCAGGTGTAGGTGAACCCCACTGATGGTGTAGCTTGCCACCATCAGTGTGTGTGTGAATGACTGAATGAATGTTGTGTAAAGCGCTTTGGTCAAGTCTCCTGACTTGAAAAAGCGCTATATAAGTACAGGCCATTTACCATTTACCCACACTGGCGAACCGGGGCCTCCTGTGTGCAAGTCACTTGAGCTAACCGGCCGCTTTGGGATGGTAAAGGCATCAGTGGTGCTTGTGGTTGTTAGGGCACTCAGGGCAGTGACCTTATATATACATACATACATACATACAAAAAAAAAAAAAAAAAAAAAAAAAAAAAAAAATATATATATATATATATATATATATATATTTGTATGTGTGTGTGTGTATATGAAACAGTGCATGGCCTTATTGAAATACTGGGTTATCTTAAACTAGTCAAAAACATACAGGATCCAAAACGTTCCTTATGGCCAAAACAACAGAGAAAGCGTTTAGCAGACACCTTTTTACATGTGGGATGAGCTGTAGACCCAGAACTCTAGACAGGATTAGGGAGTCTAGTGTACCTCAGTAAGAGCCATTATCTAGAAACGGAGAAAACACTAAACAATGGTAAAAGAGAGTCAAAATTACTCCAAAAGAGAAAAAAAAACTATGCATCATAAAAAGGGAACTCGAACTAGTGAAGCACCATGATCAGTGGTAGTTCTAGATTAACAGCAACAAAAAACTTGGACAAAAGCACATGGTTTAGAATATTAGCTGAGCCACAAAGCCATGGTTTCAGACTCCTGATCCAACTGATGAAAACTATGATCCTATTTTAGTACGGCTGCAGTTTAAAGCTGACTGAAATGTCTAAATAACTTTTGAAAGGTAAACCTGGTCCAACAGTTAGCGTCTCTTCTGTCGGCACATATTATCATAAGAAATTGATTTGGTATTACAGTTTAAAAGCAGATTATAAAGAGTTCAAATGTCAATAAATCTGTGTGTTTGCCCTTAATTGGAGAAGGGAGATACGATGATCTGCAATGGAATAAATATTGTTACTCTTGAAATAAGATAAATAGATTTCGGGCACCTGGAACATGAACCTTGAGTTTTTTATTTTTTTCTTATTTTAAACATAAATCCTCTTGTCCTACCTCCTTAAATCAAGGTGAAATACACTAACTTCAAGAAAAAATTGTATTTAAATACATGCAGTGGATGTTTTCAGTATAGTGGCCATAGCTGGGGCCAGGACCAGCTCTACAGCATAACAGGGACTGGACCTTGTTGGCCCCTTTCTAGAACCGCCCATAAGGCTTGCATGCTTCAGTGCATCATTGTCCAAAACTGAACAATGATAAAAATGGCATCCATGGGAGAGTTTAAAAGCCAAACCACTGCAGACCAAGAAGAACACAAAGTTCCAGCTTACATTTGTTCCAAATGAGGACAAAGAGTAATGTGGTAGTGGTGGCGATGGTCTGGGGTTACTTTGCTGGTCCAAGACCAAGATGACTTGCTGGAAGCATGAATTCTGCTCTATTGAAGAAAATGCAGTAAGAGTACCATGGCCAAACCCATTGTTGACTAAAAATAACATAAAGGGCCATTTCAAATTCACAAAAAAAAAATCCTGATGATTGACAATAGTTTTTTGTTGGAAAAACATTCAGTTGCAAAGAAAACCAAAGTGGAACCTAGAAAATATGGTTGTATCTAGCATAAACTTTACATCAGTAAAATATCTGTTAAAATAAAAAAATACCTAATTAATCTCAAAGGGAAATTTACTCATACTAACAGGTGGTGGAGCAGTGATATTTGTTGAGACTTCTACACCAAGAGCAATGACAAAATCATGACTCTTCTACCAGTAAATCCCCACAAAAATGTCTGACTTTAAACTGATGCACACTTGGGTCATCCAGCAGAACAATGATGCAAATCCCACAAGCAAGAATATCTCTGAATGGGTAAAAAGAAGGGGGAAAAAACAGAAGTCCCTTATTCATTTGGTCTAGATATGGAGTCACCTTAGGCTAAAAAACTGTAACTGAAAGAAAAATATCTGGGTTAAATGCTTCCACAGAAATGTAAAGAAGTTGTTGCCAGTTATTGCTAAGACTTGATAACAGGTTTAATAATTGAACATCATTTTTCTCACTTTTGCATCTTAACATATTCCCTTGGGTAGCAGTGGGCTGCCATTGTGCGGCGCCTGGGGAGCAATATGGGGTTAAGGGTCTTGCTCAGAGAGCCAGTTGTGGGGATTGAACCAGGTACCTGCACCCTTCTCAGTGCACAATCACACTACTCTAGCCACTAGACCAAAACTCCCAATTTTGTTGCTAAGGGTTGCAAACTAATACATAATATCATAATTTTAAATCTGCAATTTGTGTTCATTTTTGTTTTATTTCTGAAATTAAAATTTGATGATCCAAAAATATTTAAGTAGGAGAAAAAACCCAAAACGAAGTAAAGAGATTCTGTTTTAATACCTTCTTTAAAAATCTATGTTGTTTAATAGCCGGTTTTATACTATAAGTTACTTAAAGTAGGTGGTGAAGCTAGTGCCATGCGTAACTGAACGGTCAATGTGTTTAAACAAATAATTCCAACACAAATTAATTCCCTTTAATTTCAAAGTAAAATTCAAGTCCAGTTTCAATTTTGCCTCTGAAAACAACAGGCTAAGTAAGAAAAAAAAATGAAATAAGAAGTTTCTAACTCTGTCCTTTTAGGAAAACATAAAAAAAATCCAGATACTAAATTTCAGACTTCTTCATCCTTGTCTTCAGAGTTCAGCTGACCCAGTTCTTCTTAATCTTTCTCCAAACAGGCCTTGTCTTCTCTGGCTTCTGTAATCTCCCCCTCCTCCATGCCTTCGCCAAAGTACCAGTGGATGAACGCTCGTTTGGCATACATGAAGTCGAACTTGTGGTTGAGGCGGGACCAGGCCTCAGCTATCGTGGGGGTGTTGCTCAGCATGCACTGCCCTCTGGCCGAGCATCGCAGTGGGACGCTGGTAAATAATGCTGACCTGTGGAGGGATGGAAAGAAATCAGAAGGGATCTGACGTATTTGAATCTACATTTATTTATGTCAACACGGGCTCCTCTAATCTCACTTTAAAGTATAATCGTTTTCACTTCTCAACTTCTTTGTCTTATTGTTTTATTCTTATTCGGAGTAAATGGTCTTTAATGTTCATTTCAAAAATTAAAAAGACTAAAGCAGGGGTCACCAACACAATGCCTGCAGGCACCAAAGCTCCTTCAAGGACCACATGGGGAGCCTTCAGCGTTTTCTGAAAAAACGAAAGAAAGACATTTTATTTAATTCTGTTGCTCTTGTTTTGTAATAATTTATAGAGCGTTACATCACATTGATCATATAGAGCATGTAAGTGTTTAATTAGATTTAAAAAAAGAGAGAATGACAAGAAAATGATCAATTAAAAGAAGCAATAAAAATAGGTTTAATACGTATGAAGTTTAGGTGAATGCCGACCACTCAAGTTCATAGGTCAACACTGGTAGCCCTTCCTATGACGCAGTGACCATGAAGTAGCTCTAAGCCTGAAAAAGGTTGGTGACCCCTGGTTTACTATGTTATTTTGAATCTGTAGCAGATATTACTATAGTCGGCAGGGTTTAAGAGACGAAAGACACAGGAAGTAAGGGAAGGACATACGGGAGGGAGTGTGGTAGGATACAGGCAAAAATTATATTAACAAAACAGAACAAGAGAGAGAAGATCAGAAGGAATTCACTAAGGAAAGGAAGGAAGGACACATCACATCAAGGAAGGAAGGCAGGTATGACACAAGAAGAGAATAGGATGAAATAATAAAAAGAAGGAATAATAGGGGAGAAAAAAGAGGGAGGGACACATGGATGACAGGACACAGTGAAGAAGGAAGGAAGGAAGGAAGGAAGGAAGGAAGGAAGGAAGGAAGGAAGGAAGGAAGGAAGGAAGGAAGGAAGGAAGGAAGGAAGGAAGGAATAATGACACAAGGCAATGTTGGAGGTAGAAGGATTTGATCTAGGATACAAGGAAGGAAGTAACAGTACAAAGATATGACTAGAAGGTAAGAAACAAAGAGGTAGGAAAGAAAAGATACAAAAAAGGTAGGACATAACGAAGAATGCAAATAACAAAAAAAAAAAGAACATCAGGGGAGGAGAGAGGAAGCATACCAGATATTAAGCAAGCAGTGCATTAGGAAAAAGGAAGGATGGAAGGAAGGAAGTAGAAATTGAGATAATGGGATTGAGAACAATGTTAGAAGAGAAAACCTGCTATTTTTTCTTATAAAGACCTGAAAAATACTGGATCTAATTCTATAAGTTGAAGCCCATTGGGGATCACCTTAAAGCCTGTGGGACACCAGTCAACAAACTGGATAGAGCGCCTGGTCTTTATATTAGCTGTGGCAGCATTGACATCCTTCAGGACAACGTCGCCTTGTACATCATGCATCATTCCATATACTTTTCATGACAAGGATCACACTAGACCATCTGATTGGTCGGTTCGAAGCAAGAGCTGGTGATCTCTGCCATGCTCAGCTGCTCATGGTAGGCCTTCTCAGCTGAGATGATGGGCGAGTAAGTAACCAGCAGGAAGTGGACACATGGAAAAGGGACCAGGCTGGTCTGGAACTCCGTCAGATAACCATTGAAGGCAGCATCAAAGCGAAGCGAGGCGGTAATTGAGGAAACAATTTAACCGATCAGCCTGTTGAGGTTGATGTAACCAGGGGTCTCTATGTTCTTGTTGCAGCGACAGATGTTGTAGATGGCCTCGTTGTCCACCATGAAGGCACAATCAGAGTGCTCCAAGGTGGTGTGGAGGGCACGATGGCGTTGTAGGGCTCCTCCACTGCAGTGGACACCTGGGTAGCCGGGTATATGGCAAACTCCAACTTGGATTTCTTGCTGTAGTCCAATGATAGCTATGAAAGACGAGGAAGCGCTGTAGGCCTGTGCACTGATCCGTCTGAAAAGAAAGATGTGGCAGGGTCAATGGAGGCGAATGGTATGGAAACTCTACCCAGAGCACTAGCTGGTAAAATCACAAATCTACAGGGTCTAAAAGTTCTTATACTAACTAAAGTATTTTATATTTAGTTTAACCTCATTAGTCCTGAACACCACAAAGAATCTGTGGTGACACTTGAAAATTGCTATTCACACATGCATCCATCCAATCGGACCGAGCTTAAGCTATTTTGCATAAAAGCATGAGCAAAAACTTTAAACTCTACTGCAGATATGTGAAGATGTTAGAAACATATCTGAGAAAAGTTAAACCTCATATCTACAGAAAAAAGGTGGTTGTAGAAGCTATGGGCTTAGAACTAGAGGCATGAGATGAATACTGGCAACAATTATCAAATTTTTGTATGTTTTGTATGACAAAAATTTGGAAGAACATGTATATCTTCCAACTTAAAAAAAAAATCATTCCTCTTATTCTGTTTCATAAAATGCCGGGGCTCTTTAATAATAATAAAATCTAATTTGGCATTTAAATGCTTACTGGGTTATAATTTAAACTAATAGTAAGAGTAATAAAAACAAACTGAAAAACACCTGTGTGCTAAAGATATACAGCCTGTATACATACCAACCATAAAGCAGTTTTAATGTCAGGTAGTTTCTGTTGTCTTAAAATAAATGTTCATACCTGGTTGTTCCGGTTTAGCACCAATCGTTCATTAACATCTGCTCCAACCAAAGCTGAGGTAACAGGTTTACAAGACAGAAACAAAGGAAACAGTTTGGTTTTCATCAGTTTGCTCTTGGTTTGACCAACTGAAGGTGGTGCTAGAGAGCTGACTACAAGATGATGCTGACAGACTGAGCAAATCTCTGTGCAGGACAAACTTGCTCAGTCAGACTTGTTCATGTGAATAAATAATAATAGACTGTCCTTTAAGGGTGTTTTATGTTGATAAGTCAAGTAATTAGCAAGATTAACACCCATCTGTGCACTTTTAAACATAGTTTAAACTTGCGGTTTTATTAATCCGATCAAAAATCTGCCACAGATCACAGTTTCAGAGCCAGATATGAATGAGCTTTAAGTTTAGCTTTATTAAAACCATCAACAAAAACAAAAGAACTAATGTGAAAAGATAATATTTGATGGTTTTATCTTTTATAAACCATTGTTAGAATAGAAATTATATAAATCTTTTCAAAATAGGAACTTTTATTCAAAGTGATGATGAAGATTCGGAGTCATCTAGGTCATATTCATTCCGTAAAAATTCAAAATATAAAAAAATATAAAAGATATAAAAAAATTCAAAATATCCACTGGACTTGGTTTAAACCAAGTCCAGTGGATATTTTTTGAATTTTTACGGAGTTTTATTCAAAGTTTTAAGAGCATTTCATACTGGACAATTAATTAGGTATAATTACGTGATGAGTAAAGCTGCAAGGTACATTTAGTTAAATGTGGTATCAAGAACTTTAAATCTTGCACTTTTATGAAAGATTTTCTTACTACATCCTTTTTAAGACTTAAAAATCCATGAGAAGGGATTTTTGGCTTTATGAAAAAAAGCACAGGAATCAATGTTTTAGTCATTAACCCTCTGATGCATGAATTATGAAAACCTTGATCAAGATTTTTTTTACAAGGGATTTTATTCTTCTTAGGACTTTTAATTATTATTTTATTTAAATTAATTTAGAAAAAAATGTATTTAAATTTTTTTTTTTTGTCATGCTGTTTCATGAAGTTACAGATATGTCCACTGGAGTTGACTACGCGCACCTGAGAACTCAATATAAAATACTATGAATTTATAAAAAAAAATAATGATCTAGCATTCTGTTGTAAAAATAGAAACCATTGTTTCATTTTATGCTTTGAAAAATATTTCAACATATTTTGTTAAATGTTTTACACTATATAGGCACAATGTTTAGAAGTGAATAAGGAAACCAATGACACTCATAGCTGACTGAAATTCCTCAGGATTTGCTGCTGCCTTGAATGTCTTCTGAATTGTACTTAGGAAGGCCTTTATTATTCACAAAGTGGAGGTATCTTAGGATTTGCTCATATCTGTTCACAGACATGGCTTTACCAATTATTCCAAGTCATAGTCCATGTTCATTTGACAAGTACATTCCTGCCCTTCAATACCGAATGCACCCCATGATCAAATCGATCCCTAAAAACATCTGAATTTCATCTCCTGTCAGATTTCCTTTCCCATTCTGGATAGCATACAAGTTGGTGTTTTACACTATGTCATCAATGAGATGAGCTGGAGACAGATGTCTGAAACAGTCCATAGGATCTCTTCCCTCCACATTCAGTTTACACTCTCCTAGAAAAGGAAGCAACTCCATCAAAGTCGTTGTTTTGGATTTTATATATTTATGGGCTTCAGTATGGTCAGGTGCCCAGTGTCCTGATCATGCTGACCTTCCTCTGTATCCTGGCCCTCATCACCCTCACTTTCCTGCTGGCTGCCTTATTCTTCACTGTGTTTGAAGTCTACAATATAAATAATTGTTATAGTCATTCCAAAAAAGGTAAAAAAGTAAAAAAAAAAAACAATCCACTGGACTTTGTTTTCCACATTGTGACTATTTTAGAAAAACAAAAAAGGAAAATTAAAGGCTATAAGAAAAACTAAACCTCCTCCTATATATTCAGGGAGTGGCTGCCTAATGGTTAGAGCATAGAGCTTGGAATCCAGAGGTTCTGACATTTAACCCCACACTGCTCCCGAGGCACAGCACAATAGCAACCAACTGCTCCCCAAGGGGATGGGTTAAATGCAGAGCATTCAATTGGTCGCTCTGTACTTGTGACAGTGTGATGACAATAAAAAGCGCGAAAAAAACAAAATCTTGACTGCAGCACAGAAACATACAAGAAACATATATACACACACACACACATATATGTTTCTTGTACATGTATACACATATATACATATATACACAAATTTATTATTAATTTATATACATATACATAGCTATCTAAGCTAAAATTCTTCATTAATGATCCAGTCAATAATTAGCCTTAGCTTGATTGTCATTCAGATTTGAATCAAATGCATACCTGGAGCAGATTTTGTTGCATCGGCTAAGGAAAAGTACAGTGGACTAATATGAAGAAAAAAAAAAAAATACGCTGCATACTTTTTATTTACAATGCTCAACAAAAGACAAGTTTATTCCAGCACTCTGTTGCTGCAGTTTGTAAGCATTTCAAGCAGCCCTGTTTCAACTTGTTGAGAATTTGATCTCGTCTCTCCCGGAGAGAGAACATCCCATTAGATGATTTTTCACTGCTGAGCGACATTTGTAAGATAAACATAAAAACTAAAGAGGACAAGATAGCAAAGTAGGTCTCTTCTGAGACTTGTACTTTCAAAAACATAGGTGGACGCTATATTTTTAATTAACTAAACCTTTTCTTTTTATAAATGTCTTAAAGTATGTTTAGGTGAACTGGATTCTTTCAGATGTTGATTGAATAATATATGACATTTAAACAATGCAAAAGGGTATCTATATAAAAAATTATGCAATGAAAAAAAAGAAACACTATATTTCCGAACAATTCTCTTACCATGATGATCCAGAGAATGAAAGAATAGCATTTGGCGTAATGTCCTGGGACGTGTCTCTGCTGACTCTGTGCTGCTTTAAATGCCCCTCTTTATATATGTCCGCTGGGCTGCCTTTGTCTGCTAGTTTTGATAAGACATGAAGAGGAGGGAGCTGATGGATAGAGGGAGGGAACGGCGGTAACTTTCCTTCAACATCATTCCAGTTCTCACACAAAACTGTAGTTCTGGTCACGTTCAAGATTTATGGTCACTTGCAGAGGTCAGGGAAAAATATATGCTGCTCTTAACGTTTGTTCAAAGTCTGAATCTTTAATATTAATTACTAATTTTTCTGTCACAAAATATTGTAAGAGAAAATCAGGGAAAAAAAGATATTCGATTTATCTAAGTAGTAAAAAAAGAAACTTTAACATAGACCTATTTTTAGTCCTCTCTTCTGTACTTATCCGTTTCGGAACACTTATCTGAAAAACAGAAAACTGTTAAGTTTAATGGAGACTTATCAAAGCTAAAAAAAAAAAAAATATGTGGAGTATCACAAGGCTCTGTGTTGGGGCCTTAGGTTTTTAAAACATTTTATACTAATGACATTGGGAAATTGAAGAAGGAATTTCACCTAAGATTGAACAGTAATGCCTCAGTATATTTATAATGAAGACAAAGAAAAACTTTATTGGTTCAAAGATTGAAAAATCTGCTGACAGAGATCTGAGCTGCAGCTTTAAGGCACCAGTGAAAGCCAAACAGTGAAATAAATCACTGTAAATGAGCTATAAAGGACTTGGTTTTACTGTTACAATAGTAAAAAAAAAAAAAGAAGTATAAAAAGAACTCCTAAATCACTTTACGAATGATTATAGAAAAGTTTGCGTGTATAAATAGTTCTTTCATGAGGCTCATTCTTTTCACTTTCAAAAGGGAGAAACTAAAAGTATTTGTAGAATTACGCATTAAATTTCAAACACTAAAATTAATAACCGATTTATTTTGCAGGTAGATTACGATTAGTGATAAGAGTCCTAAAGGTTATTTTAATGCAGCTCAACCAAATTTAATGGCTTTAGAGCAAATTTTTGAAAAAGAAAACCAACAAAATCTCTTCAAATGTAGATGCAGAAAAAAATTTGATTTTATTGTAATTAATAAAACTGCAAAACAATAATGACCGTAAAATGACTGGTACAGAGTTGCTTTGAAAGGTTGCAGAGCTCTCAGTGGTGATAAATGCTGACTTTTCTACGGTGCCCTGACGTACAAAGCACATCATCAAATATTTAAATACAACTACTAACTGGAAAACGCAAAAACATTTTCAAAAATACCACGTATTCAGAAACGTTTTCAAAAACACAACATATTCATATACAGCATTTTTAAATACATAAGCTCATTAACCTTAAAAATGAGACTTTGCAGATTGGATGCATCGTTTGGCTTTTAAACAGGAAGTCATTCTGCTTATGCTCGGTAATTGAACGTTTGAACAGTAAAGTCAGAATGACTTCCTGTTTAAAAGCCAAGCACTGCTGTCGTCCAGTCAGCAAGGTCTCATGTTTCAAGTTAATGCCATTATGTTTCTGAATACGTTGTTTTTGAATACGTTCTTTTTTAAAAATTTGTAGTTAATGATTTGTTTATGTGATTTGTACTTCAGGGCCACCGTACTTTTCTCACCTGGGTTTTCTGACTCACTGGGACTATACAGTGGACTTTATAGTGAACTCTGTTAACCAACCGTTTTGACAAATGATCTCTACTTTTCTCTCCTCCTTGATCATGTAACTCCGCCTGCCCACACAGCATCCCAAGATGCTTTGTGAGTAGAGCTCTCACAAAGCAATCTGGGATATGTCTACACATCTAGTGACCATAAATATTCACTACTTTTTAAGGAGAATTATGGGAAATTTCGAGTCCACTACTTTTCATCCACTAGGGGCGTTTCTCAATATGCGTTCTTGAGCGTTCTCGTGTGCTCGTGACACGTCATCAGCCTCAGCCCAAGTACCGTTCCAATTCTCAAGAACACCAGATCGAGAACGCATTAAATCCCCGGATGTTGTTCTCGCCCCGCCCTCTTTATCGAGCATGCATCAGAGCAGACTTGTGCGTTCTTCAGACTGACCGCTTCCCCAGAATGCCCCGCGGCCGCAGCTTGATTCCAGACAGCGCTCACAGTGGTAAGTTAAACATTCCCTTTTCTGCTGCTGTTGTTCTTCAAAAGTACGTTTTGAAATCGTTTGAGGCGATAACATTATACATTTAAGCCTCCCTGTGTGGTCTGTTTACAGAGTTAGTGCGAAAAAAAAAAAAAAAAGTCCGACGTTGAGCGGACCAGAGTGACCAGCAGACCTCCGAGGGTAACCGCAGCCAGGGCTAAATTTACCCCGTCTGTAGTGCACTTCTCTCGGTCTAGTTATGTGTGAACTACCGCTCGTTCTGATGGCGGTTTTTTGCCGTTCGGTAATTTTTTTTACTGTTTTTTAAGCTTTAGAAATTAAAAATATTGTTTTCAAAATGTTTTGTGTAGGGAATAAATAGTTTTGACTGTTAAAGAAATGCTAAACAACGTTGCCTGTGATGACGTCACGAGTACGCTTCTGCTCCAATACACATACGTGCTTGCGTGTTCGCGTTCTCGTCAAGTCCGATCTTCCTGCGTTCTCGCAAAGAACGGACTTTACGTGAATTGAGAAACGCCCTAGATGTTCGGACACCCATCTAAAATGGCAGAATCCCTATGTAGTGCCCTATATAGTGATTAGGGCGAAAGTTCGGATGCAGCCACTATGTGATGTAATCATGAAACATTTTGTCACTCAAGTCTTTAATTTCTGAGAGCTTTTATTTTAGTTTTCAGACAACAGTGACATTCAGGCGTTGCATCCTACAAGTTTGCCTAAATCCATTTTCTGAGGGGAAAAAAAAAAAAAAACCCACAAAGAAACCCTTTTCATCTGATACTTGAAACCTTGATCTCAATGTTCAATTCAAATTGGAGGGAAATACAAATCATGAAGCACAGCTCAATTTTTTTCTAAAACAAGGTTCATCTTTATATATGATTTGATTGAAAGAAATAAATTCTGTGTTAAAGCGATTTCCATTCAAAAGTCCTGTTATTATTGTTCACTGATGAGCATGCATATGCTGAATCAGTTCACTTCATAATAAGACAATGTAATTTCCGTCAGATGGGAGGCAACATGTTTGATGCAGGTGAAAGTCATAAGGCATATAGCAGCACGTAAAGTCTTAATCCACTCCATCGTTTTCTTCTTGATGGATAAAAATATATTGCACTTGGAAAATGTTCTGAAAAAATAATCTCACGTGACAACAGACACCACCGTAGAGTCATGCAAGCCGTCATGGGCTCCTTGGAAGTGATGCGAAGTCTACCACAGTAAGGCTCAATCTCCATAGCAACGGTCCGACTGGTGATTAACCCTTCAGTTCACAGAACCAGCTTGGATATTCAAAATCTTGACTAATTAGCATCCTTCCTCTGTGGTTCTACTTTGTAGCGACATTTTCAATAGAGTCTTAACTGCCTGTTCTGTTCTCGTCCTCATTGTGGCGGACGCAGGGTTACTTCTCCCGCAGAACACAGACTCCTGCGTCGCACCTCTGGGTTGCCATGGAGGTGACGACCTCCCAGGAGTCGATAACCGGGTCATAACATTCGATACTGCTGAGGAGGGAGTTTCCATCGTATCTAGAAGAAATCAGAAGAACTGAGTTTGAACCACAGTGGAGACACTATTGGAAGTTTACGTCTTATTCTGCTATTTAGATTCTCCAGCGTGTTCCTCGACTTTATTTTCTGCTCTAAAAATGTTGCTTTTAAACTTTGAGTGTACTTCATGTTTTCTCTTCAAAATACTTCTTGATTTTACATTTCATACGGTAACAGATCAGATTTGTTATAATATCTAAAAAACTAAAGAAGCACTAGATGCATTTTATCGCTTATTTATTTTTCATTAGGTGGACCTGTATGTGTATAGTTTTCCATACATAAAGCTTAACTAACTGACTGACAGTCAATCTTGTAAGATGTTAAATATTTAGTCCAGAAAATCTGCTCTTTTTAAGAAAAAGCTGGGGTTTTTCTGTAAGGTTTTCTTTTTACATTCCTTAAATTATGTTAAAGGGGAAAGAACTCAAAACGAATTTGAGCTTTTTAAACATTCTTTATTCAGTCTTACAATACATGTTCTTAAGATCGCAGCTCTTTAGTCTAAAAATACAAGACTAAAAAGCAGAAGATGACTATTATGAGGTTTTGGGTTGGAGGCGGCATGTTTCTTCATGTACTGCTGACAAAGCAGATGTAAAGACTTCGAGCTTCAGAAGGTGTGAAAGACCTTATGTGGTAAAAAACCTGCAACATATCCCACACAATGTGTCTACTTTGTGTTTGAACTAGTGCTACACTTATGGCTGACTAATGTAAAGATGTTAGCTTAAGCTTTTAGTGTTGGCGCCCCCCCGAAGCTGTTAGTGATATTAATGTTGGACTCTTTTTGTCAGCCTGAGCAATGGTTACTGGATGAGATAAAGTCCTCTTACAATTCAATTTAAATAATTTATCTCTAAAATAAAAACATTAATTCATTAAGCTACAAAAATGCAAGAAAAAAATAAAATATTACAAATGAGGAGAAGCTAAAAGAAAACTAAGCCCACTGAACAAACACTTAATCTTACCCGGCGATGGCGTAGAGTCGTCCTCTGAGGACGGTTGCGCCCACGTAACACCGAGGAGTCGTCATACTGGCCACAGTGGTCCAGTAGTCTGTCCTGATGTTGTAAACCTCCACCGAGTCGAGGTGTGAAACGCCATCAAACCCTCCCACAACATAAATGTGGTCGTTCAGTAGCGCCACACCAGCCCCTGAACAGAAGTCATTGTGTCAGACTGTGAGCAACATTAATTTTTTAATTAATTTATTTTCTAACCTACCTGATCGCTTCGTGGCCATGGGTGTCACGCTGGTCCAGTGGCCTGTGTGAGGGTCATATCTTTCCACTGAGTTTAAAATATTTAGGCCATCATAACCACCTGTAGGTAAAAGTAGAAAAAATGCTTTAATTAAAAGCTGATAGTATTTATATCTTTATATATTTTTAAAGCTGTTTTATCCTTAAGTCGTTCCTTTTCTCATCCGTTACATGAGTTTGTAAGATCTGAATGGTACAGGGTCAATCTAACTAACTTTAGATCTACAGCCATACAAAACTGTGGCATAAGCCCCTTTTCCACTGTACATAAAATGGAAGGTTTCATAAGAGCTTTTATAGAGCCCAGGGTGGGTTTCAGGAAAAATGTACTCGCATAATTTAGTTTCTGGTGACAGGTAGGACCTTTTCATTTTTCCTGGGAATGCTGAAAGAGCAGAGCTGTGAGCATCAACGCAAGGCGCTGCAAATGTATAGTTTTTAGATCCTTACGTTTTCACGTTTCAAGACGTTTTTAAGCACAAACATAGTCATAACCAGTGTTGGGCACGTTACTTTGAAAAAATTAATTAGTTATAGTTACTAGTTACTTCTCCCAAAAAGTAACTGAGTTACTAACTGAGTTACTCCACAATAAAAGTAACTAGTTAGTAGTTAAAGTAACTATTGCGTTACTTTTGTGTTTCTCGCCCCCGTAACCCTCTCCACCCAGCCCCCACCTTCTCGCCGTGTGTTTCTAAAGCCAGCTTAATAGAGCGGACGACAAAGACAAGAACCTGCAGAGAGTTTTGCATTTATTGCAACTCAACGTAAATGACATCAGGGGGGAACGCGATGTAAAGTTTTTTAACAGGGCATTCAGATCTGGTGAGTATATGAAATGAATAACTGGGGATGTCTAATTCCGAAATCCTGTGTGTTTGGGTTGTTATAGATACTGCAACATCTATCTATCCATCTGTCTATCTAGATGTGGATCTCCATCCCTGCCACAAAGGCCATCAAATAATGTTTAAAATAAAAAATACAGTAGGTTGAAAAGGCAGAGTATCTATCCAACCATCCATCCATCCATCCTTTAGCGAGCATGCGCGTTTCCTGTCGCTTGCACGGTGACTCGTGCCGCCTGCGCTGTGCAGAGATGCAGGGGAAACCGTATGCGATGGGGAAATGCAGCTCGACGTAACACCGGTATTTCCATGTGGAAAACGCTGTTTTGCTGCTGGAGTCATCCTCACTCTCCATCTCTCTGTGTGTGCTGTACGTTAACACCCGCCAGCGGAAACACCCACCTACCCAACTGACAGACGGAATCTCACTATACATCAGCCATTCTCATCCTCCCCTCTCTCATGACAAGGCGCGCACGAGTCCTATCATGAAAAAAGGTTCATTGTGCGGCCTGAGTAACGCGCAGTAACGGGGTGTCTGCAATTGTAACTGCGTTATAGTTACAGTCAAAGTAATTAGTTAGATTACTCGTTACTAAAACAAGGTAACGGCGTTAGTAACGCCGTTACTTTCAACGCCGTTAGTCCCATCACTGGTCATAACACCATCAGTACTTTTAGTGAATTCAAATGATGTGCTTTTAAAGATTTCAGATGAGCAGAGAGTCGGTTTGGCTGCTAGCCTAACTGTGTGGTAGCAATGGAAATCCCAAGTTAGCACAGCCTTGAATCAGCCAGGTAATGTGGGGTTTCAGGCTACCTGTTATGTTTGTAGCAGCTCAAATTAAATACAGAGCATTTCATAGGTATTGTGATGACCAAACCTATGGCTACACTCCATTAAATTCACTAAGTCTCCCTTTAAACAGCACTTTAGCTTGCAATAAAATGTTTATTGGGTGGTTTAAACACCTTTGTTCTTTGTAAACACGCACATTTAGTTTACCGATGTATTTTTTTATTTTATCTATGATTAACTCTTGTTTCTTCTACTTAATTGCTGTGATGCCCGGGAGCTGATGGCTGAAAGATACTGGCCAAGGCTGAGCACACTTCAGCACAATGGCCCGATTGGACTGCACCATTAGTGTTGAAGAGGCCAATAAGTGCAACTGTAGAGAGGCCATAAGCTCTTTTTTTATTTTTTATTAAATAAGCTTTTCTATTGAAATGAATATTTGCATATAACGATTAGGACCTTTTCCTTCTACTTTTTTTGGTGTTTAGTACATTAGCAAAGTTACCTTTACTGTGGTGTTTAGTGTAGTTGGTGATTGCTTTGTTTATTTACCCCTATTGTGCATTAATGGTTTCCTGAGCCAGCATATACACTCTTGTGTGTCAAGCCTGTGTGAGGTCAGATGTGTTCTTTGTTTATGCAGATGGTTTGTTGTTTCTTCAAATTTTTACCTGAGTTCAGCTTCTTTCTTTGACCTCCTTTTATGAGCTCAGTATTTTGTAACTTCAGTTTTTTTTGGGTAAATTAAAAACCCTACTTTTCTAATTCACGTGCCTGCTCCTGTTTTTAACTTGGCCCCTCACAGGTATGTTGTGATTAACTGCACATACCAGAATATATGGTTTTGACATTTTAAGTAATTGTAGACAATAATATTTATAAAATATTGTGGCACAGTTCATAAAGAGCGGCCATGTTTGGATGCGGTCTCTCTACTATTGGGGATCCTTTCTGTGTCCTGCCATCATCAACTCCACTGTCTCTACATCTTTTACATATTGAAAATACAAGGTGACTTTTAAAGGCACCTTATTTCATTCAGGGAACCAAACTAAAGTGAGAACAATTTGAATACATGCCGTTTTTTTCAACATCTTAGATGAAAAGAAAACAGAAAACCACTGACCCATTTCACTTCCCTTTATAATTTCATACAACTGTATTTCATTCATTATTCACTCACTTTCATGTAAAACCATATTAAAACACAGTAAAGTGAGGAAATGTATAAAAAAACCATCCATACAGTCAAGTGAATGTCTTCGTTCTTGCATCCAATTAACACCTTGCTCTTTTTTAGGCTCCGCCTTTAAGACTGCTTCCTGAGTCTGTCCAATCAAGATCACCTGAAGACTATTTAAGGCCTGTGAAGCAGTACTTCAGTAGCCTCGTGAGACCATCCTGATCTCGCAAGTTTCAAGGTTTCACTCGCAGATCAGTCTGGAGACTGCGTTAAAGAAAATTTGGAGCAGTTCACCAAACGAACGTCCAATCAGCGTTGGCTTTGAGGCAGGTTGAGGTGTGACGCAACGAGAAGGGCGACAGTTCAGTCTAAAGAACATGGCGGCTTCAGCCGATGAAACTAGCGTTAGCGTGGCTATCGAGCAAGTTTTATCGGAATTACAGAGTATTTCTTCACTGAAAGAAGAGCAAAACACTGCTCTGGAGGCTTTTCTCAGAGGAAAAGATGTTTTTACTCTTCTCCTGACTGGTTTCGGCGAGAGTTTGATCTATCAATTGGCTCCTCTTCGTCGTCGCTCTGTTAGTACGTCTTATGCTTCGTTGATCTGATTGGTTTATTTGGCCCGTCTATCACCAACATAGGCCAATCAGCTAACCAGTATTTTCACCCCTTCCCAAAATTTCTTCAACGGAAGGTTTCCAGATGGATATGCGGAGCAAATCCATCTGGCGGAGTCAGGTTGGTACTTCAGGCCTCTGAGGCATTTGCCTGCCGTACATCTCTGTGTTCCTTGTTGAATCTAATGGGCTGTTAAGTAAACCTGCTTGGATGGTTTTTGTAGGGGAGAGCTGCCCTTTTGTTTAACCCCAGTTTCCCCTTTTTATGTGTTGGTTAGGTAGGTAATTTTGTAGGTTTGTATATTTTGGTTTCTTATTGAGTTAGGCAAGTCCACTTTTCTTTTTTCTTTAGGGTTGTTTTGTTTGTTATTTTGGCCCGGGCTATCCCTAAAGCTTTTACCATAATTTATTCAAAAGAAATGGCAGAATAAAACTTTTAAAATGCCCTTTTGACTCCTTCGTTCACTGTCTAAATTTATGTTGGTCCCTTACACCCCCTAGACTAAGCCAGGGGACGTAACACTTAACTAGAACCTTCTAAGTGCTACTAGCCAAAATGAAGTTGGCTTTCCTTATTATGGAGGTTTTCTACCTTTTGCTATATGAAGTATTGAAATTATATAGAGAAACTTTTAGTTGTTTTCAAGCATCACATCAGAGCTTAGAAAGCATCATCTATAATATAAATCATTATAATTAGTCTATTAGAGCCCAGAGGATTTATTCGTCTCTTGGCTCAGAGCTCATCTGTCTTTAAATCTACTCGTCTTTCACATAGAAAGAAATTCTGGATCAGTATTTCTTTTGTTATTTTTGTAAAGTTAATGAGGCAAAGCAACCTGCCAGGTTTCCTTTTCATCAAAAAAAAAAAAAAAAAAAAAAAAAGAGATTTTATCAAATATATGAGAGACATGTTCAGTGCAGAACAATCTTCCTCTAAATGAGGTTTAGCTTATGAAATAGCAAAAATATTTGTAACAGACATTATGTGAACATCATACCGAGACAATATATAAGCCCACTGGCCACCACTAGACCAGCTCCCTCTCTAGCAGTCTGCATATCTCCCAGCATGCTCCACTGGTCAATATTCGGATCGTATCGCTCCATGCTGGTGTGCCGTCGGCTGCCATCGAAGCCGCCAGCAACATATATCATATCTGCAAAATATCAAAAAACATCCATGCTGACTAACTAAATTCATGACTTTTGCTCCTGAAAGTCATTTCTGTCTCCAACAATAGTACCTAACTAAACTGAAAATATCTACCTCCCAGAGTCGTGGCTCCAGCGAGACCGCGGCGTACGTTCATGGTGGCGACGGTGTACCAAACACCGTCTTCATCGGCTGTGTAGTCCAGACACTCCACAGAGCTGAGCCTCGACCGGCCGTCGTAGCCCCCGATGACGTAAACTCGATCGTGTAGAGACACGGTGGCGACGTAGCGTCTTTTACGGGCGATGTTCTGGTGTGGACATAAAAGTCAGCATCAAATAAACCACCACACAAGTTAAAACCTTAAAATACTTTTTGAAAAATAACTCAACACTCACGGGTAGAAAGCTCCATTCCTGGGTTTTGGGATCATATTTCTCTACAACATCGATTGGAGACTGCTGGCTGCCGAACCCACCTATAACCAGCAGGACTTCTTTGGCACCTAGGAATATGGAATGTGTTCAAAACGCTTCAGTGTCGGACACATGCACCTAAATCAGTTGCACCTGAGAGCAGGGCTCCTACCTAATCTGGCTTGTGTGCGAGGACCCTGCATCTCACTCCTCAGCTCCGGTCTTAAGTGGAATTTTTTGGCCTCATCAACAAGGTCTCGACAAGGCAGGCTACATCGAATGAGAGGCTAAAACATGTGAAAACCTGTTTAATTATGGTGTTATAAATGCTTCAGCAGGAGATCTTTCATCTGACGTCGGGCGCCTGATTACACAACAACCTGTTTGCGGGTCGCCCGGCTCACCTCGGCATCGATGACATCGGTAATGTAGCGGGGGGTGAGGAGCGGCATGCGGACAAACTCCAGCATGTCCGGGAGGTACGGTTCTCGCTCTTTCCTGTTGTGTTTGACCCAGTTCAACACGGCTTCAAAAACAGGCTCCTCTGAATCCACCTGGACACAAAAAAACACCAGCAGTTTAAAGCGAAACATAATCACAGCGAAGGGACACATGTAGATAAAAATGTTTATCTTTAAATAAGAGGCATGGAGGAAGATCAGTTAAACCCCATAAATAGCAGGAATGTTGAGCAGAATGAACAACAACCAGTAAACAACAGATAGAGTCTGGGAAAATATTTATACAGCTCTGGAATTTATTTTTGTTTTTCACATTACAACCGCACATGTATTTTTGAGAATTTAATTTGATTGATTAATACTGAACAGTGCATAATAGTGAAATGAAAAAAAAGGGATAGTTTTTTTGTATTGTTTAAAATAATAATAAAAAAAGAAAATAAAAATGAAGGTTCATTAGTACTCCTTGATTCTAGATCAAGTTCTGGATCTCCAGTGGTACGTCTCCCCCAGCTTTGCAAGTCAAGATATTGAATTTATTGTACTTTTTCAAGTTGTTGAAGTCGGGCAGAAGGGATAAAAATCGTCTGTTTTCAAATCCTTACATGGATTTAGTTCTGGACTGTGACTAGACCATTTTCACAGGTTTAGACAAACTTTGATTTAAACAAGAAGGGTTAAACTTAATCACAGACAATGGTTTTAAGCAAGAATAATAAAAAAAAAAGGAAAAATCCATACAATATTTTAAATCGATCTTGTTCTTGCAGGAAAATTCTCCACAGCAAAATTTGAAAACAGACATATCATCACAGAGAAGCATTTTTGGCATCATTACTGTAAAACAAACCACTAAGGATTTGCTCTTTGAAGGCAGTGAAGGGCTGCGTTACCTAATGAAGCAGCTGGTGCAGTTTATAAGCCACAGGTTCACTTGGCAAACTCAGCACAGACAACTCTGCTCGCACAAAAGCACGCCTCCCTTTTCCAATGAAACAGTTGGAAAGCCATATCTTTTTCTCTAGTGCTACTTTCAGTTGGTTTATCACTTTGAACACAGCACATTTTCTGCTCGCAAAGATACAAAATGTGAAACTTTTTACTAGAAAGGCGCCTCTGACCTAATTTCAAAGTGTCAACTATAAGCTGCTGTGTTTCCCTTTCTAACATTTTCCAGCTAATGCTGATAGAAGAAGCAGCCTGATAATCAAATAACTGACAATTACTTTATAAAAGTTTTAAATGATTAACTATGATTATTATTATCAATCATTTGGCACATCCATCATGGCGATTTGATTCAGTATCGATTTCCTGACCAAACGATTTGATTATTTTCGATTCTAAAGAATACACCACGATACGATTCGATTCAATTAATCGGAAATTTTTTTTTTTGCACCTTACAGGCTAAACAAAGTTTCAAGTTTGAAACAAATCAATGAAAGCTGTAATATTGTTATGCATTTCTTTTTAGAAACAACAGCAAATAACACAAGTAGAAAAGTTGCATTAAAAAATACTGCACATAATCAGTGCAATGATTGCAATTCAATACCTCGGCTCCAGACGTCGCGCCCCCTCCACAGACGCTCCGCTGCACCTCTCCCAAATTGTAGCTCACCGCAAACAGTGCCGCAGACAGAGGCTGGATTGTTTTGTTTTTATGACAGAAATTGCGGAAAACAACTCGTGAAGTTTGACCCGCTAGAAGAGCGAGGTGCGCGAGAACGCTGGGACCCTTTTTCCCCCTGTATCCCTGCCCTTTTTGGCCCTCATGTCCCTCCGTCGTCGGACTAAACTCGCCCCCACTTCCTCGCCGCCTCGGCCGTATCTAGACCCACAGCGAGTAGCTCAGACCACGCTTCAATGTTGGGCATAATTTAAAAATGTCTGTGTCAAGCTTACTGCAACACACTGCTGTAACAGTATAACCAGGAATTTTATTTATTTTTATTTATTTTATTTTATTTTATACTTTGTTCCAGGCTGTGCATTTAATTGTATTTTTCAAAAGCAGGAGTTGTGATATTTCTTCTTGTATTGAAATATTTGTTATTGACTTGTTATTTGAGATTGTTATTGTTTTCTTATATATTCAATAAAAAAAAAACAGTATAACCAGGAAGCGAGGTAGGAGGGCAAAATAGGTTTAGCGCCACCGCAGCATGGGAGGGAGAATTACGCCCAGGAGCAAATGGATAAAAATAGACCTGAGGAAAAAAAAAATACATGAATCGATTCTCTTGCGGACGTGTCGATGCATCGGATCGTCGGCTGTTGGATCGATGCATCAATACAAAACGATTCTAATTTACACCCCTAATTTTAGCAGCAATATATAATAACCAACTGAACTGGTCAAACAGACTTATGGGAAATACTTCCCATCATGCTTCCCCACATCGGCTACTTCTAACTGCAAAAATTCAATCTCTTTTACCCAATTCTTTTTTTTTTTTTTTTTTTTTTTTACACTCTGTGCCCATGATTTCACATTAAATTCAAATACAAAAATACAGAATATTAATATTTTTATAATTATTTACATTTTAGTGCAGACTGCATTTAGTTTATTTCCTTTATTGCCACAGAGAAACATTTAAGGCTGTGATGAATAAACTATACCAGCTGCATTTACTACATACTGGCAAAAATCCTCAAAACAGCAATGGCAGCATTGTTGCAATATCTGCATTTAGGCAATATGTGGTAGGTTGTACTATATCACAGGCCATGTAGGGAAACCCACAGGGTATTGCTTGTCAGATATGTACTACATTGCCAAAAGCATTTTCTCGCCTTGTAGCAAAGTTTTGCTAATTCCTGAAGGATTACACCAAATCACACTCTCTGCTCACATTAAAGCAATTTATACACAAATTACAGAAGTCAAAGTGATAATGCGTAAGTGAAAGGTGGGTACATCCCAAAAACAACTTTCTTTACTGGAAATGGCTTTAAAATAACATTTTTTTTCCTCCCTAGTTTCAGTATCGGCATATTTATATGAAGCAGATTTTGCAGGACATTTCATTTTCAGTTTCCTTTCAGCTTGAAACCACAATGTAGATCTTTCACAGGAATTTCATTTTACAATGTGAACATGTAAAAGTGCAATCAGCCCGAGGTCAAACAACCCCTAAAATCCTCCAAGATGACAGAGGCTGATTTAACTGAGGGGAAATTATCCGTGACTTATTTCTACATGTATAGTCTTGTTTTCCCTTTAAAACAACAAAAATCCCAGGAACAACATTTTGAAACAATTGATGGTCTGTATATCATGCTAAGATAATGTGTTTTCAGAAAAACGAGGCATGTGGTTGGAAAACAGGAATTTCCTGGCAAAGGCAAACTTAAATCAGGTTCACTTCCCTGCTATTTCACCGTCAGGCCAGTCCACAAAACCAAAAATTGTGGTGGGTGGGTAGTGTTAAAGTTACAAGTCAATGCTTGTTATTATTTTCATGCTCAGGTTGTGAAAAGAGAAGAAGAAAAGTGGAAAATTCAAGACAAATTCACTCTTCTTCAAACTGCCAATAGCAGCAGGTCTTCTGTTTTTCATATCCTGCAAAACGGATTTAGAAGCATCCAACGTCAGACCTCCGCTAATCAATCCTACCTGGATTTCATCACACTTTATGAGCTTTTCGACTTCTGTTTGGCTCAGGAGCATGAACTCCTCGTGCTGAACCACCTCGGAGAAATGCTTCTGGGAAAAGAGCTCGGCGGCCTGCATCAGGTCAAGGCAGTTGTGAGTTTCGGCGAAGTCGCGGATCCCCAGGCAGTTGGACGGATCGAGCTGACTCTCCAGAAAATCGCAGCACGCCCTTTTCACCCCTGGAGAAAAACAGCATTATGTTTGTATATAAACACCTTCCAATCACACTGACCCAAGACCCAGACAGACAGGACTTACGAGTCACTAAAAGTCTCCAATTCAGAACCGCTGAGGTCATTTTAGTTTTAAAAAGCCAAACTTTATCTCTGTGACTGAGAATCACTCTCAGTTACCGTTTCAACACCACGGAAGTTAATCATAGCTGAAAATAACGAGACTTTTAAAAACATGCGTCTTAACACCTGAGGAAAATACCAACTGAAGATTGTCTCTGCCTAAATTAAATAAAACAACCTTGATCAAATAAAAACTGGAATATCCACCTATGAAAAACATACCTTTAAGTTGCAGCAGACATGCTGCAGGAAGCAGTTCTTGCACGTTTTCCACTGTGACAAGAACCGTCTCTGTGTACACAAAGTCCAACAAGATCTCCATAGTCGATGCAGTGAGTCCCTGAATGTCGACAAACGATTTCCCCTTTTCTGCAAGCTGTAGGATCACAATGAAACGCAACATTAGGAAGTTAGCTTCACGTCTTACCAGAAAGTCAAACAGCAAGAGACTTCAGTGGATTTTAAATATGAGAATTTGGTGCAAATGTTTGACTTTTGTGAGCTATTATTTCACCTCAAATAAGAGCTCAAATATACCATAAATTCCGGACTATAGAGCGCACCTGATTACAAGCCGCACACTCTAATTTTAGAAAGAAAATAAATTTTGTACTTTTATAAGCCGCACCGGATTTTAAGCCGCAGGTTTCCCACGTTGTAGGAGATATTTAAAAATAAAGATATTACATGTGAGCATATTTTTAACGTTTGATTTAATCCATATGATAAAACAAACAAATACGGTACATATAATGAATGGGTTTTTTTTCAAACTACCTGTAACACATTTAAAGGAATAGTACACCCAAAACATGATTAGCCTTCATTTTCTACTCACCCCCATGCTGAACAACACTCTGGAGTACTTTTTTGATATCTCAAATGCATCTGGAGATCTGGGAGGCTTCTTGCTGTCTGCTGACATTCAAATAATGGAGGTCTATTGTGCCCGAGACAGAAAGGTCCATAAAAGTCTACAAAAAACGTGTCAATATTCCTCCATACTGCTCGTCCAATGTATTCCAAGTGTCCTGAGTGGGTAGCATCCAGAATTTACTCGAAACGAAGTCATTTAGAATGTTTTTAGAGCATAAACAGTAGTGTATAGGATTTCCTAAAAGCGCGTTCACGACGCTACGGAAACCGCGGCAGACCAAACCAGATGAAAGTGCGCATTCAGCTCAGCAAAGAACTCATGCTCTTCCTCAACACTGAAGTCCTCAGACATTTTTCTTTCGTTGTTTCTTTCTTTGCACAGGTAAACAGCACATTTCTTCTTCTACGCTTGCATTATCGGCAGAGCAGACGCTGAATGCGCACTTTCATCTGGGGTGGTCTGCCGGCTTCCGTAGCGTCGTGAACGCACAGGCGCGCGCTTTCAGGAAATCCTATACACTACTGTTTATGCTCTAAAAACATTCTAAATGACTTCGTTTCGAGTAAATTCTGGATGCTACCCACTCAGGACACTTGGAATACATTGGACGAGCAGTATGGAGGAATATTGACACGTTTTTTGTGGACTTTTATGGACCTTTCTGCCTCGGGCACCATAGACCTCCAAATATTTGAATGTCAGCAGACAGCAAAAAGCCTCGCAGATCTCCAGATGCATTTGAGATATCAAAAAAGTACTCCAGAGTGTTGTTCAGCATGGGGGTGAGTAGAAAATGAAGGCTAATCATGTTTTGGGTGTACTATTCCTTTAAATATACGTATGTGTCGGTAACACGCAAATAACGCTGCATATACCGGTACTTTTAATTGAACAATGCACAGAACATTGCAGCCGACCAGGAAAAGTTATTAATTACTTTCTTCTTCCTCCTGCGCACTAAAACCCTCAAAGTCCTCTTCCTCGGTGTCTGAATGGAACAACTTCAGGATGCTGTCACTGACTACAGTCTCATCCTTGTCGCTCTCGCTTGAGCACTCGCGGTCCTCTTCATCCCGCAGCAGCCCAGCCTTCAGAAACCCGCCGGTGATGCTGGATGTTTTCACACAGCTCCACGCATTGAGAAACCTTCGCATGCGGCCAGTTTTGGTGAAGGATTTCTCTTCGTCTGTTTTTCGCGCCATGAAAAAAAACATCTATCAGCCGCACTGTATTATAGGCCGCAGTGTTCAAACAGCGGGAAAAAAGTAGCGGCTTATAGTCCGAAATTTACGGTATACATACACTAATGTTAGCTTAAAGGTACTTCTGGAAAGTTGAGCGTTTTATATCTTCTGCCCCGATTCTAGAGAAATACTTGACCATTCTGTTTTTAACAGGTAGAATTTAAATGTGTTGGTTCCCACCTATTGCCTTTTAAACATGGTAGGTAAAGGTTCAGTCACGCTGAATTCAAAGGCTTCCAAAAGCCTACTATCTGAATAAATATATATTTTTCACTATGATTTTTCTGTTTTTGGGGGGGGGGGATTTTGATCCTATTACAGCTGAGCTTCAGCTACTCAGACAAAACATGTACGCTCAGACGGAGGAAAAGTAGAAAGATACGAAACGTTTCAGTAACCATCAAAATTTTTCGCCCTTAAGGAAATTCCCAACCACAGCTGGATTTCTCCGCAGTGCTACGATTATTTGTTCATGTAAACATTGTAAACATTGTCTCAGATTTCCTTCGTTGCGTAACATCCATACAGGTCCAAAGAAAAAGAATCAGCCAGGAGATAAGGGGTAAATTAAGGAATGGCTTCATTTACAGCCTCTTCTGTCACATTAGCTTGCAAAGTTGAAATTTGCTCATTAAATAAAGAGACTTTGAGTACTCTGCAAAGAGTTTTATGATGAGAGGTATGGCCATGCTGGGACTAACAACATTCCTTGTCAGCTGGCACAGTTTCATGAAAGCTCTCTGAGGCATCCTAAGTTGTCTCTCCACTGAGTGTTGGTAAATTTATCAACCTCAATTCTCTCCCAACAGTCTGCGCTCTAAACATGCTTCTAGTAAGCATGTAATAAGATTGCAGACTGGAGTAGGTAGACGAGGACCCTGACTTTCCGGTATCACGAAGCTGGATTCCTTCTTAGCAAGGTTAGTCGCCACGGTAACGCAAGCTGAACGGCAAACCTAGCTTTCAGGATTGATCTGAATCCTAGAAAAGGCTCCACCCAGCAGCCAATCAGCTGTTCAGGAAACAATGATGCCCCCTTTCATTGAAAACATGATTTAATTCAAAGGAAAAAAGAACTTAAACAAAACAACAACATAATAAAAGAACTTGCAACCGCAAAAACTGTTAAAACAAAATATGTTCTTGACAAATGAATAGTTTTTTTGTTCATTTTTCCTTTTGTTTCCCTTTTGACATGGCAACCTTTTACTATTCTGTAGTGGTTTTCTCCGGTATGATGTCTTTATAAACTACTAAATTCCCTAAATTCCCTTGACCATTTGGATCATGGTGACAATTATTTATATGTGCGATACAGGTTTTCACGGGCCGGACTGGTATATATGCCAGATCCTGGAATCGTGTGTCGGCTGTGCGACAATCAGGAATGCGTTCCTCACTGTATCACAGACTGTATGTATGGCCATGATTTATTATGCAATTGCCAGCTCATCACATTATTAAAAACTGCCTGTTAAACATACAAGTTTGCAAACATATATACTTGTTTGCAGAGACACAGATGTTACACTGAAGCTGCTCCATGGGGGATTAATGGTAAACTGGCAGGTGAAAAAAAAAAAAAAAAAAGATCTGACAGTTGAGAAATCGGGATGATTTCACTCACTTCTTGTATTAATATGATTCAATAGTGGCATCAGCTTCCATCTTTATTAGAGCTCATGCATTATTGAATTAAAACTAGATTAAATTATGTTTTTGGGTTTGATGGGAACATAATTATTATGCAGTACAGTAATTGGGATTAGGGTTGGGAATTGAAAAGATTTTCACGATTCCGATTCCCTTTTCGATTCTATGAAATGATTCGATTCTTTATCGATTCTTTTTTCGATTCCAATTTGGGGGAAAAAGGAGAACAAACAGTTTGATTATCAGCATCAACTTTGTTTACTTAACTATTGCACAATCTTACAAACTCAACAAGATCAAGATGTCCACAGGAAATGTGAAACTGGAGTAACATCTGTGTTTAAATGAAAAATAAATATACAAGAACAAACTTAATAACCAACAATGTCTAATAACAAATGATGGGATAATAACCTATTTTAAATAACAAAAAATACTAATTATAAAAGAGTAGTAGGGAAAATTAACAGTTATTTTGCAGAAAGATGAGCATATCTGCTTTTTCTGGAAGGATACAGGATCTTTCAGGGCTTATGGTGTCTCCAGCCGTGGAGAACACCCTCTCAGATGGGGTGGAGGAAGCCTGCACACAGAGGTAGTTTTCAGCCAGTCAGATAGCAAGGGCAGCGTATCTTGCTTGTTCCACCACCACAGTGTGGCGCTATCCCTGCAGGGGATGGAGGGCAAGCTTTTATAGAGCTGGATTTCCTGATCTACCCTCTGGGCACTTTGATTCACAAAGTGACCGCAGCTCGTTGTCTTCCTCCTCGAATAGTTCTTCCAACTTGCGTAACTTGCGTAACTTGCGTAACTTACGTAACTTACGTAAAAACGTGACGTAAGTCGTGCTCCCCAGAGCCGGCGCTCTAGGCTCTGGTGCTGCGGGAATCGAAAAAAGAATCGTTCAGTGAGCTGCCAAACGATGCCATGGAATCGGAAAATACGGAACCGGTTCTTAACAGGAACCGGTTTTCGATTCCCATCCCTAATTGGGATGCAGTCTGTGTTAAATGACACGGATGTTTAACTTGTCAGCAATCCTTTGCCACGCTATGTGGTGTCTCTTTTATGCAGCCACCATGTTTGAGTTTTCATTGAAACTTTTTTTCCCCCTCATTGTATTGCTGTAAGATGAGTTTTTTTCCTCGCAGTAGAAATACAGTGTTCTCCCTTCTGAGCTTGTGGTTGTAATTGGTCTGCTAGCTTGAAGCCGGCCGAGCAAAGATTCCTGATCAGTTCAATCTGGCCTGAGTTAGCGAGTTAATAACCAGCTTTGAGGTATTTATTCTGTTTGCACTGTTGTGGATTAGTTAAACTGGATAGACTGGAAGTAATCCCGCTATGTTGAGCTCTCTTCGTGGTACGGGCCCCTGCTATCTGATTTCCCTGTTATCAGATTTCTGCTGTGCATGTAAACATGCTCAATTTGCTGACCTTAACTTCCTATTAGGCTTTTCTATGAAACAGTGAAACATGAAACATACCTTAGTTCCTTATATTGTTTTCCTTTTGTAAACCTGCATATTTTTCACTTAATTATGGTCACTATACTAGTATTTAAATATAAAAAGATGGACTAATCAACTTAGATGATATTAGATGATTAGATCAGATTAGATGTAAAAGATCTCAGATGTTTATTATGCGTAACAACACTCTTTTCTTCACCCAATTTCAATAGTTTGAGTACTTCCATCAAAAAAGCAAATGCCATCATCTTAGTAAGACAGAAAAAATGTTTACCTCGCTGGTGAACATGGCACAGAAATAGTCGCTGCAGGCGGCCAGGACGATCCGGTGAGCTGGAAAGTCTGTGCTGTCCACCCTCAGAGTGATGTCGCAGAGCGTGTTGCTCTTGCGTAGTGAGTTCATTGCATTGAGGATGGATTTGGCATGCGAGTTGGTCATGATGTCTTTAGGAGCCATGTTGCCTTGGGAATCCGTCAAGGATCTCAAACTACCGCAGGAATCTGAAAACAACACAAACAAAAATGTCTACGTAATCAGGATAACGCATCTGCGGTTTGTTTAATGTGGCTGTAAAAAGACAGTCATAGTTAACTATAAATTCTAGGTCAAACTTGTGGCTCCTATAGTGTTTCAAGTGTGTTGGAAGCTTTCATAAATAAATTATGCATGTTATCCCGTGCAGTACTGCAGAAATAAAATTTCCTTTCAGTTAAAAGACAGATTGCCCAAGACAAAGCAGGTTAAAGGGACCCAGATTTCCCTTCAGAGATCCAGCGTACCAACACCAACATTAAAAAAGAGGCCTAAGAGGCCAGACAAGGTGCAGATTGAAACATTTAATAACATTTCAGCCCAACAGCTGCAGCATGAATGTTAGATCTCACTCTCTGTAGAACAAAATATCCTAAATACTGATTCCACTAAATTGCATCCAAAGATAAAAACTGTAAATATCAAAGAGCGTTTTCTGCCATTAAGATTCCATAATATTACAGAATAATTTTAATGTTTGTTAGGTGATTTAGAAAACAACTCAAGAAATTAAGAGTATTAACAGAAATGTAAAGATACAGATCACTTAAAAAAAACATATGTTTCAGATTATTAATCAAAACTAAGTTGCCATATAGATTGCACGCTTCTTTTAGTTCAATTATATTTCAATTCAATTTAGTTTATTTCTATAGCACCAATTCACAACACATGTCATCTCAGTGCACTTTACAGTTCACCAGATCATACATTCAAATTGATTCAAAGTTTTCTATCTAAGGAAAACCAGTTGATTGCATCGACTCATTGACTCAGATGTAATCCCTCAGACTAAGCATGCTTGTAGCGACAGTGGAGAGGAAAAACTCCCTTTTAACAGGAAGAAACGTCCAGCAGAACCAGACTCAGTGTGAGCGCTCATCTGCCGTCATAAACAGATATTCAAAAAAACAAAAATATGTGTAACTCACCTTTTCTTTTTAAATAAAGAAACAAAAATATAGGCATACTGCTGATTGCAATTCTCTAATCTTAATTGTTATTTTTTTTATAATCTGTAAGCAAAAAATTTCCAAGATTATCATTAATAAAGAATGAGAAAGATTAGTCTTATGGTATTACAATTATTAAAAAAAATATTTTATGACTATATCTTATATTATATTTGATTATGGAAAATCATAGCGACTACTTGAACAGCGATTTATAGTGTAGATTGAGTGCAATTGGTCTTATACTGCAAGACAATATTAAATAAATTTTGTTACCTGTCTATAACGAAACAATTACACCTGAGCATGCTCAGTTGTTAATAAATATACTTAATTTGAATGAAACAATATTTTATTTTGGACAGAATCAGTAATATCTAAATGTATGTATTAAGGATTGACTTATTTCATATTTCGAATGCTTCTATATATATATATATATATATATATATATATATATATATATATATATATATATATATTTATTTTTTTTTTTTTCTATTTGCATGTAGGTTTGTTGAGATAAAACTTACCGTTAAAAGATTTGAACACTTTTTCCACCACTGGGAGGCAATAACTATAGCTACACATCAGCTAACAGTCAGCAGCAGTCAACGACAGCTGACGGCTAACGCCAACGCCAGACAACAACTCAAGAAAACACAGCTATATGAAGCGGGCTAGAGGGCCCAGGAAGACAACACAAGAAGCGACACACACAGAAGAAGTTGGCAAGAATTGTCATAATACCTGTCGCGGCAGTAAGGCAGATTCAAAGCGCCTAAGCTAAGTTGCTTTGCCAGCTAACGTTAGTAGCACCAAAGTCTCCTGTTTACTGTCAGTTGGCCTAACTCAAATAAACCTAATCTGTCATGACCCTGACCAACATGTCTGGCCTCTGCGGGGACGTAAACGTGAACAATTTCAGAATAACTTCATATTAAGTCTTTAAACAGCAACTAACTGCAGCAGGTCACAGTTCCACCACGAGAAAAAAAAGCTGCAGCAGCAACGACTCCTCAGACGGGACGTAAACAGACATTGCGCTTGAAGAACAGACGCTGCACGAGCGTCGGGAACGTATACGTCAACGTCACGGCCATATTGTGACAGGCACGCAGCTGTTCAAGTTTCATATGATTCACATTATATATCACACGAATAACTCAAACGTATACATATATTGAATAACCACCCCAAGTACATCGATGAATGTGGATTATTTACAATATTCGTCAGTCAACTAGAGGAACACGAGTGAAGCTAAATCACGCATGCATTAAAAAAATCCAGGAAACTAAATGGAACTCCATACAGAACGCTCTTAACCCAAGGCAACTGTGCAAGCATCCGCATTTATGTTATTACACTAGCATAAAAATAGTTTTTAAGTATAATTGTACCTGTGTTTCCACGGTCTGACATCAGAATAAACTATTAAAATCTGATGTGAAGTTAAAAAAATATAAAATGTGTGTTTTTTAACTCTACTTTGGCTTTCCTGTCAAAGTTGAAACAAAATGTCTTAACAATATTTATTTTATTATTAATATTTTAATATTTAATATTATAATTTAAATGAAAATACTGTTAAATATATATATAAATATATATAAATATATATATATATATATATATATATATATATATATATATATATATATATATATATTTATATATATATATATATATATATATATATATATATATATATATATATATATATATATATATATATATATATATATATATATATATTTATATATTTATATATATAGTATTACATTATATATATTATATATATAGTATTACATGTTAGAAAGTATTGATTGTCAAAAAAGTATCGATACTAAATCATTGTATCTGGATACAATACTCATTTTCAAAAGTATCGATACCACTGAAAAGTGTTATTTTCTCAATTTAAGTCACAGAATGAGGCAGAGAGAAGTAAACCTGTGTCCAAACACCATCAAACACAGCCCACTCTACCATCCATGTTTGATCAACTACAGAAATATGATGGCAAGTCCCTAGAAGCAATGAAAATAAACAGAGCTGTGGCATAGTTCATATGTATGGAGCAGGTTCCTATTTAACTGTGGAGAAACCTGGGTTCCAACAACTTATTAAGCAGCTAAACCCAAAGTATCCTCTTCCCTTCTGGAATACAGCATTCATTTTTGTTTGGTAACTGGTTTGGCTAGTGTCACTGTTACGTGTGTAAAGCATAGCCAAGGAAGGACAACTTTTAATTATTTATTTTTTTATCAAGCTTGCTTAATATTGTACCATACAAACTCAAAATATTGCTCTTATCATTTTATTGTATCTATTTATTTATTGTATTTTATTTATGAATAAAAATATTTATGTTAAATTTTGGGGTCTTTGTTTTTAGCCTTGTGGTATCGGAAATGGTATCGAATATTATAATATAATAATAATAAAAATAATAATAATAAAAATATCGAATATCAGTATTGAGTTGAAAACTTTAGTATCGTTACAACCCTGATATATATATATGTTTTGAGTATATGTTTTAAATCGCCACTCCCAATATGGCGTACCCACCGCCGTAACCTTTCCACTTTAAAAACGTGGGCTTACGTGCGCGCTACCTAACAAACCGAACGCATTTCTTTCGAGAAGCAAGATGCCTCCGCGCGCCCTCGCATATCAGTCTTTTCCATTGTTGTAAAAATGGTAAGAGCGTTATCCTCTCACGCAGTTGCATTCAGAATATGACGATAACTTAATAGCCAGTATCTGGATGGAAACAAAAGAATGTTAATACGTTTCAAAACAAGTCTCTGCTCGTTTTTTCTCTCTCTCTTAGTCAGCCAAGGACGGCAGCTACGAGGTGTAGGAGGAGCTAGCGGCGTGTTTCCGCTAAAGAACAGGCCAAGGCGGTGATCTATGCAGCCCTACTGTTAGCAGCCGGACAGTTGGGAGCTAACACAGGAAATTGCTTAACTACGCTTTACTACGGCTTTATCAGCGGAGGAGCCGCAGTTTTTAACTTCTGGGTTTGGGAACAAGAAGGTGCGGAAGCTGGACCGTATAAACGATGGAAGCCGAGTTCTGGGAAATCGACGAAACTGGGAATTGGAACTCCGTTTATGAGGTTGGAACCGTCTATAATGATAATGGAGGGGGAACATTAAACCTAGGGCTAAGCTTTCTCCTTCTTAGAGCAAGTCCCTTTATAAAATGTCCAACGTGTGTGTTTTTTGTTCGCTCCTGTTCTTTAATCGGAGCCGTTTGAGATGATTCATGTCTCTGAACGGGATGGTTATCTAGAAGGACGTCCCATCATCACCGAGGTGTTCATTTGAATCTATACGCTATGATACACATTCATCTCCTCATATTAACTTTAAGCAGCTTATTTTGTCGTTAAAAACCTGCTCTGTTTACTATTCATAGATGGTTTTCTCCATATTCACCTTTAGTGTGTGTCAACATGGCCGTGGATCTTAAATTCATTTTGAATTTTTATCACTTTCTGTTCCAAATTCATCACAGAGCTTATAACTAAAGTGTGTTATTACACATAGTAGCTTAAATATATTTAAAAACCTCAACAACTATTTGATTAAATGTCGTCTAATAAGTTATTAATTTATATACATTACTTTTTTTTGTTTCTGGCTTTTTTGGGGGATAAATATGACTGGAAATTCTTTCATTCTGCAGATTTGTCAGAGATAATGTGAGTTGGTTTTAGTCCTAGTTCACATGTTTTTGATGTCCTTGGTAAAGTGTTGACACATCTAAAGAACTTACATTCAACTGGAATATGCAGCTGTTCACAAAAGGCAATTTGTCAAATTTTCTTTTTTACATCTTTCAGGATGTTCCCACCACCCTGAGCATTGATTAATCCAATGACTGCTGTCAGACTAATTATTTTTATGCATTAAAGAGAAGCTTTATTGAGACTTTAGCTCGCCCTGGACTTAACTAGCTGAAAATAATAGAAAAATAGCAGCTTTTTAAAAGATGTAGGTAAAGGTACCATTGTTTTAAATGAGTGTACTGGGAATAAATGTTTGTCTTTCTATGTTTAACATCAACAGGCTACTTTTTGAAACAGCATTTTGAGGTTTTGTTTTAGCAAAGTAAAATTTAGGAAGGAAGAGGCCAAGCAAGAGGCCCCCACCCCACAGGATTTTCCACACATGTATAGATTTAGTTTTGTCATGCTTAAACTCTCTTAAATGTATAACACTGATTTTGTAATTCCTTTGGTTTATTTTCCCACAGGAGATTCGCCAGCAGTCTTGTGAATCACCCTGTAAGGTTGCCAAATTTCCCGAAAACAAGAATCGGAACCGTTACCGGGACGTCAGCCCCTGTGAGTTGCTCTTTGCCCTCCTTCGCCGCTGCAGGTGTTCAAAAATGACCCGGATGCTTTGGAAAAAAAGAATAAGATTCTCAAAATTAATAACTAAGATGTACCGTGTTTTCGTTTGACAAAGTACCAGCATCATTATGCCTGATAAATTACTGTGGAATATACACAAATAAGCCTGCTCACTGGGTTCTGACCTCAGGCAGCGCTATAAACATGTAACAGTAAAAGCACAGATGTCTATCAATACAAATGGGCTGTCAGGATACTGCAAGGCTGCTTTATTTTGTTCTAGACTATTAGGTTAAAGTTATGATTGTATGGTGGTTATAACCAATTCTATCTTAAAATAATTTTTTTTAAATATTTTTATAATTGTAATTTCTAAATTCTCATAAGGAACTGGAAGAGACAACAAATAATCCAATTAACCTACTTTGTATATATTATTAGTTTTATCTGTGCTTAATTATTCTTTCTCTATTAAACTACTCTTATGTTTTCACCTAATTATACACATTATACGTCAACATTGAGAAAATAATTATCTGGAAGAAAAATAATACGTCAGGGTTTAACTGTTGAACTTTGGTGGTTTCCTCTTTTTTTTTTCACACTGAATAAACTATGCAAAATTGTGCAGCCTGCATTGCAAATTGTTATAGTTTTTCATATTCATTTTTAACGAGATGTGAGAATGAGGAACCTGAAACTTAACTTGTGCTGTTTGTTTTTTATCTCAAAGATTCTTCAGCCAGTGTATCTCAGAGTTGAATTCACACGGTCGTGCTGTTTTAGTTTGTCCAGCAGCACCTGTTTTCTCACAGGGGCGGGTGATGTGTAGGAAGTTTGTTTAGATTTAAAAAAAAAAGTCAACAAAATAAAACCAAACATAATTTGTTGTTTCTCTTCTCCCCTCCATTTCTACAGTTGACCACAGCAGGATATGTCTGCAGCTTGGTTCAAATGACTACATTAATGCCAGCCTTATAACTGCAGAAGAGGCGCAGAGAAAATATATTCTTACTCAGGTAAGCATCCAGGAAGATTCTCTGTGCTCAGATTTTAAGACAGTGTACTCTGAACGAAGCTGCTTTGACAATCAAACTTATCTATTATGTAAAGCCTGTAAGAAAATAATCTCAGTAGTAATTTAATCCTTACATGCAAACATTTCAGTAAATAAATTGCAGTAGTAGTAACCTACTACAGTTTTGAACACACAAAAAACAAAGAATAAACTTGTTATATTTTGTATGGGATGAAAGTTGACTTAGACATAGACAAACTTTATTGTCATTTGCACAGAGTGTATACAAAACCAAATTTCGTTGCGTGCAGCTTACAACAGTGTAATGATATTGCAGTTGGAGTAGATAAACATTAGCAATAGAAAGTGCAGCAGTGATCAGAATGTAAACAATGTAGAGGAAAAAAGAAACCAGTTTAGAAAATAGTGCAAAAAGGCATTAACATGAAAACAGTCAGTGCAGCGCAAAAATAATATAGTGCAGAATGCAGTAGAAAATTTGAGTTGTGTCCTATTTAAAAAGATTATAAAAGTTCTGCAACATTGGTAGTGCAAAATAATGTGATGCAGAGTCTGGTTTAGAGTTCAGTAGTTCAACAGTCTGATGGCAGCGGGGGAAATGGTTGTTGCAAAACCTGCTGGACCTGCAGTGG